CAAGTTTCTTCCCGGACCCCAAGAGAGGGGATGAAGTGACCAGACCTGGGCAGACACTTGGGTTCTGGTGAGCAGCTGAGACAAGGAAGTGCTACCAACAGGCTCCCCGCTATTCTTCCCCCCCCACCCCCACCCAGCGCCCTGCATCAGAATGGGGCTCACAGCCTGGCCCCTCACACCTTTCCCAACCTCAGCCTGTGTGCTGGGCACCCCAGTCCCAGATAGTAGGCCACGGCGGCCTCCACTCACCCAGCAAGATCACGCAGAAGAGCCACATGGCCAGGGAGAAGCCTTGACTGCAGGGCCCCCAGGCAAGATGGGACTGGGGCGAGCAGTTTTCCGGCTCAGCTAAGGGACTTAAGCTGGTGGTTATCCACTTCCTTTGCTCTGGGAGCTGCCTGCATGTCACTTCCTCACCTCAGCTGCGCACCCGCCCCCACGAGGCTAATCTGGGGCCCATACCCCTCCTGCAGTTCTGCATTCATCCCTGCACATTTCCTTAGTATTGGGGGCTGGGTGGGTGTCAGACCCTGAGGAGGGGAGTCTGTCAGTCCCCCAAGCCAGGCCAAGTCAGCTGACAGTAACACCCCAGAGCACAGGGAGGCTCCCCACTTTCACTTCCGCTCTCTAACAAAGTCAGAATGTGGCTGCTGCTGCCTGTAGCTCACTGACAGGAGGCTGCTCCAGACTCTCAGCCACTCCGCCTGGGCTAGACAAGGAGCCCCGGCATTTCAGAGCAGCACTGGGGGCGCCGGGTGCTCCCACCTGCTTTTCCTTAACTAGACCCCACCCCCTCCCTTTGGCAGGATCAGAAATTTCCAGCCTCTGCTGTCTCCTGCACCAGAGTCTGTTATTCCTCTTCTCTTTCCTCTGTCACTTTCCCTCAGGCTGAGTCCATCACTCACTCAGTGGCCTCCTCCAATTTGTATCTGTAAGCAGCAACCCCAAAAAACCCAGAACCCCTACCTTGAGGATCAGTGTTATCACCTGCTGGCCCCCCGCAAGCCCCAGGGGCCCAGCCCAAATGACCCCAAAAAGGGCCCTTTTCCCTCAGAGAAGCCCAGAGCTGCCAGCCCAGCTG